CAGTTTGGTGTTCGTATTCACATGTTATAAACACGTACCGATAATCATTATCGAAAACGTAACTAAAATAACATTAAAATAATTTTAAGTGTTATTTAAATTCGCATAGTCTTCTCCTGATTTAGTTTTATTTTTATAGTTCGATTTATAAATTTAAAAAATGATTAGTTTACTTTGGAAAACCCGTAGAAATTATCCGTGGATTGGCCAGGGCGAAAGCTTGCCCAATGAAAAGTTGGCTTCTTAGAAAATTAGACAATATGCTAAAAATGTACACGATCCTTAAGTAGCTTAAAAATTTAAATTAATAGAAGCTCTAATATTATTATTATATTATAAAATTTATGCTGTATTAATCTAACGAAATCAATTTTCGTGGATACTTTATATTTTATTTAAAAATTCTTAGAAAAGGACACTTCAATAAATTTAGATACTAAAATGATAACCTGGCAGTCATTTGCAAGCAACATTTCCCGACATATCGTGAGCCTCTCATTACTGTATTTACTAATCGAATAATATTAATCGATCTTTTGTAAGAGATTTTATCGTCCTACTGAGTGAAGTACAGAAAACAATATTCTAGCACATCTTAACGAATTGACAAAAACTTACAACTTTCTCTACACCTGAACCTCGGTTAGAATAACAGATCTAGGGCATACAGTCAAACGACCTGCTTGCCTTTTTAGTCAGACACCCGTGACAATAAGTATAGGTTTCAAAAATGAAGTTGTAAAAACTACAGCCCTGCATTGTCACAATGCCGTGCTGCAATTTTTTTTTATCATATTTTTAATTTACTTCATTTAAAATACATGGTATACGCCTGAAATTAGTTGTGGCTGACCCCAGTACGTCATGTTTTCTTTACCAATTGAGTCATGCCAGTGATGTATCTAATAACGTTCAAGAGAAAATATATGAATTGAAATTACGTGACTTCCAGTTGGCATCGAAAGCTCCAATATAGTTAAACGGAGCCTTCTGCTCCTGAGAATTCCAATCCTGATCGCGAGTTTTAAATGGATATTCTGCAAAAAGAAAAAGGTATCTTTGAACAAAAATTCGATAAAGGTATAGAGAAAGGTACTGAGAAAAATAATCGAAGTGGCAAAAAACCTACCTAAAGCTGGCTTTAAGTAGGTTTTTTGCCACTATGCTACAACTATCTATCACCGCTCTCGAGATAAAGGAGAGAGAGAGAGAGAAACTCAGACAGACCACATGTCGTCTGTCTGAGTTTCTCTCTCTCTTTCTCTCTCCCTTGTACCCCTATAAATTGTACCCCTATGAATTCTCACTGTCGCGACAGTGGGAATTTATAGGGGTACAATTTTTTTAAAATTGCAGTAGAATCACATATTTGAAGCGGGAAGTGACTACATATTTTTTAAAGTATGACTACGTATTTTTATCAGGGTTATTTATCAAGCTAACTGATCTTATCTGATAAAAAAACATTGAAAGTTTTTATATAAACAACACTTTTACAATTACTCTTCGACCTATTTAAGCAACACGAAATTTATAAATGAATTTATAACAAGTGATTCTTTTTATCACTTAAATAAACTTCACAAATAAACCAGACGGCTTTACGCACTTGAATGTACTTTATAATGATGATGTTGTTTCAAAAACTGTGTCGAGAATAACCGTAATCAATATACTTAACTTCATCATATATTTAGTGAATTAAATAAAAATTATGTAAAGAATGTTTCTATATGAGATGAATGTTTCTATATGAGAAATTAAGAGATACAAGAAATAATGCAAACATTATCAAAAATTCGACAATTTACATGTCGAAGGCGTAAGTTTCTATCTTTATATAATTTAAAAGATTTTCCATAATTTTATAAAATAAATGCCCGAATAATGTTACAAAATGAACGAAAACTTTACAAGTTGGCCAGTTTGCAAGTTGGCCAGTTTATAATTGGATTAGCGGAAATTATGAAGATGTGTCGTGCAATATTAAAAGATAATAAACTCTACACTGATCGTGAAAGAAAACGCTTGTTTCTCCAATTACAAACGTAAAACTTGAAACTTGAACTAAGTGAAAGTTGATATGTTTATTTCTTTGCTTTTTCGAATTTAATTACAACAAAATAAATATAAAAAGACGTTGAAATGAAAAAAACTGATTGAAATAAAAGATATAATTGTAATTTTTCCTAAATTATTACCGTAACTTTATTTTAAAGTTATAAAACTTTAAAATAAAAAACGCTAAAATAAAATGCTATATAAGCAAGGATAAATAAGTGATTCTCGATTAGTTTTATCGAGTAAAACAATTACGTCACGCCGCATTAATACCCCTCATGACCAACTTCCTCGTCTCGATTTCGTTACGAATAGGAACGGTTCATTTAAAATTGTAACGGTCATTTTTAAATCGTAACGGTCAACTTACGTAACAGGAAGCGCGTCCTGAAATTGCAATTGATAAGTTACGGCGGCGCTTATCGATTACATTAAAGTGAACAGATCATTGGAATAAACTGGGTACATATATATTAAGTGAATTTTGTGCGTTCTCTTGTTAATTTTATAATTATATAAGGATCGGCCGATATTTTATTAATTTTATTTTTATAATTTTGAAGAAAAGAAGCATTGATACGATGGCATAGTAACTTATTTCGTTTGGTTCATTTATAAAGTTGTATAAAGTAACATCAACGAATATCGTTATGTACAAAGACAAAGAAATGTGCACAATAATCATAAAATTTTCTTTATATTTTAATAGAATTCCTAACATCTGACCGTTTTGCTCTTAATTTTGTAGTTTATTTGCAATTGCAACGAGTCGCTTTATTTTTATTGAAGAATTTGTGACTTTGAACAAAGAAAACATTTCTTTAATTACAGAGAAAACCTGTTCAGTTTTATAAACAATTTTATACATTATGTTATTTAAAAATAAAATAATGTATAAAATCACGGCATCCATTTCATAGGAACTGGTTTCTTGGCTATCTGCCATTTAAACTTTCGCAGTGTTAGAGCTAGAATTCACCCAATTACAATTTGTTTTTACTTTAACATATGAGTTTATCAATTTGTTAATTTATTCTCTATTGATTTGTTAATTTACTAATTATTGTTATTTTTATTATGTTTTTATATAGGCCTATACTAAAAAAAATTTTTCTACCTTTCCAAAAATTGTATTTATTTTTAAAAATGAATTACTGGCCTAATAAAATTTAAATGTACTACCTGTAGCATTATAATTTAAATAGTTATATTCAATTATGTATTGCAAGCAGCAAATGCACATGCACATTTACGTCGAGAGAATAATTTGTCTTTGTATGTAAGAAAAGACTGTATTTTTTAGTTTCTTTGGACATTTTCACTTTAGCCTGATTAGGAAAATGTTGAAAAGACAAACGCAGAGGTTTTAGAAACGAAAACAGCAGTCAGACTGATGTTTTATCAGACAATCGTTAAATAAAGGAAGTCATTAAAAATGTAATAAATGTTAGAAATGTAGACTACAAACGTTTACTTTGTCTACTACAGAAGTTCACAATCAAATCACCAGCAACTGTTAATCGATCTGCAGATCGATAAATTACTATAAAATTTCGGGGAAGTTGGAAAAATTTTCTTTTAATGTACATAAAAACATAATATATCAATAAATAGCAATAATTAGTAAATTAGGGTGGAAAGTTGCCAAGGAAGCAGTTCGTATAAAATGGACGACGTCAGTTTATAATTATTTTATTTCTAAATAACATAATGTATAAAATTGTTTATAAAACTGAACAGGTTTTCTCTGTAATTAAAGAAATGTTTTCTTCGTTCAAAGCCATAAATTCTTCAATAAAAATAAAGCGACTCGTTGCAATTGCAAATAAATTAGGAAATTAAGACCAAAACAGTCAGTTGTTAAGAATTCTATTAAAATATAAAGAAAATTTTATGATTATTGTACACATTTGTTTTTCTCTGTATGTAAGGCTATTCTTTTACTTTAAAATCATTTATTCGATCAATCACAAAATAACAACAAAAAATTGAAAAAACTTTCAATCAAAATGGCTGTAAATATTTTGTAATTTTCAATTATACAACGATATAAAATTTAAATACTAGCATAAGATTAAAGCAACTAATTTTGTTGAATTACGATAAAAAAAATCTCTATTTAAAAAGAAATACTTAAATTTAAAATACACTAATACGCATTTGCTCAACGTTAAAATGTGCGTGGCTCCATCTCTTACGACATTTTACTCACAACTCATTTTTATGTTACTAATTATTACAAAAAGACATAATTTTTCATGGAAAAAAAATCTTTTAAAAATATTGCAAATGCCAGTAAGAAATAAAAATTTTCGTTAAGTTCGTCTCCATTCGAGATATAGGCCTAACATATGACCTCCCTCTATCTCCTCGCTCTCTATTTGTCTGATGAATCAATACTTTTGACTTATTCTCATTTGTTCTACATAAAACTGAGTATAAAGTTTGAAGTTTTAGAGGAAGAAATTCACTGTTTAAATCTTTACTTTCATTGTAATAAAGTTTTATTTTGATTAAAAATCGCAAATTGATTTGTTTTCAAGAAACTTTGTTAATAATTACGTGAAATATTTCATGTATGCAGACTTAGTGGTTTCGATTAAACGAAAAAAATTACCAGATATTATTACATGTCTCTAAATATGAAATATCTAAATGATCGTGAAGTGTTCCAAGAACTTGTTCGACTTAAAGTAAAATAAGTGATTTTTATTTTAAAAACTTTAATGGCATTCATTTATATTTCACATAAACATTTCTGTAATTGGTACGAATTTAATTACTTCTGCAAATAGAGAAATTTGAAAAATGTGACCTCTCTGTTTAATGGCTCATTAATGTTGTTATAATTGGTGGAAACAGATGGATCGAGCATGCAGAATCCACGTGTACGCGTTGTACCTGTTCGCATTGGATGTGTATAAATATCGAATTTTGCTCGTGGTAACTCATTCTAAACTCGTTTAGATAGCTTCGAAGATGAACTCGTTGTTGATAATCACTGCTTGTTTGGTCCTGATCGGTGAGTATGAACTTATAATTGATTAAATTGGTTGTAAATGGCATAATTTAGTATCGTTATAAGTTATAAAGGAGTTATGAAATTCGCGTTATATTTATTACAATATATTGTATATTTTGTGGAAATGGAAATATTGGCAGATTATAGCTTGTTCTTTCACATAGCCTATGACTTAAATCGAAATTCATATTTACAGAAATATTTCGTTGAAAAATTATAAAACTTCAGATAAACTGGTTCTTGTGTTGTAAAAATTGGAACGATTTGTATTAAATTGTTCGAAATGGCATAAATTCTATTAAAATTAAATTATTTTCGTAGTATGATATCGGCATTCGATTAATAGATGGCAATGCAACACAACAGCAATCTGCCGAGAAGGTATTCTTTTCAGGCGGATATTCTACGAGTCAGTAATCTATATTATTCTAATCTCTATCTGTATTACTCTAGTACTTTAATCTCTTATTTAGAAGTTACACCTGTAAAGTAAATCAGTTTAATGTTGTTACTGCTTGACCCGTGATGGTCTTTTTATATAAGTATAAATATGTTGACCTGCCTAATTGAGTCACAATTTTTTTACTTTAGTGATTTCTATTTGATTTATAGAATTCTCTAAGCATTTGCAGTCACTTCTATGTGTTGTCTTGAGAGAAGTGAGCTAATATAATAACATCATAAATTTAGATTTATAAGAAATTGCATCCTCAAGATTTTCTATTATAATGTCGTTTTTCTGGATAGACAAGTCGCCGATAAATACAAAGTTACGAATGACACATCATCTTCCTACTATTTGAAATAGCATATTTATAATCAGGACTATTTTCAGTTTTTATAGTTCATGTGATACAATAATAATATACTTTTTTGACACATTTTGAATGCAAAGCATAAAATATTTTAATTTTATTGTATTAATAAGTATTACTTCTTACGGTTGAACAAGACTATTTCTTTGTATTTGTTGCAGGAACAGTGTGGGCAAAAGACGGTTATCTGGTGAACAAGAAAACGGGCTGCAAATACGGGTGCTGGGATTCGAAAGATAACAAATACTGCAATAAGGAATGCCAAGCGAAGAACCAAGGAGGTACTCACGGCTATTGTGGTACTCTTGCGTGCTGGTGCACAGGTATGCCCGATAGTACACCGATTTGGCCCCTTCCTGGTAAAAAATGCATCGCAAAATAATGGCAACGACTTTTGATTGTCCGCCAACTGAAATATTGTAACGCTTCTTAATTGCACTTAAATGAAATAAAATGCAATACCTTCATCTAAAATATCTTTATTATGTGATATACAGTTTACAGAATAGAAAAGCATTATGAAATAATTGAAACTTAAATGATTTCGTACGAAAAAATTTTTTCGTACGAAATCATTTAACTTTCAATTATAAAAAAATAATACCCTATGTTTATTTTTCTATCAATGAATCTAGCCAACTTGATTCGAAACACAGACAGGACCCAGTTAACTCGTTTATTAGTCAAAATTTAGATTTATAAAAATTTTTTAAATATAAATGGGAGGGGCTAGCCGGGGATACGGTGTTGGTAAAACTCATGTACCGCTTAATCGGCTGTGCTGTTGGAGAAACAGGCACGCGGTTGTCTACGGATGGCTTTTTAAGACGTTTATTATGACCAGAGATTCTTGTGAACTCCAGGATGTTGGTTTTTCCTGACACCAGATAGTCAAGTTGCAGACTATCACGCATTTGTGAGGAATTTCGAGTTAGAGAGTCGCGAGTAAGTGAAGTCGACGAAGTTATTGGATTTAGTCATTAACGAGACCATATTATAAACAAGTAAATTATATTGAATCAAACGACATAATAATACAATTAATAGGATTACTAATTATATATTCTAGACCTATCTCGCGGAGAGAAATCAACTATCTAACTTAATATTAATTAACCTATACGCGTGAGAGAGAGTTTACATTAATTTTAAGGCCATACTACTATCACAATATGAAGCTTATTCTTGTCTTCGGTCGTCTTTCCGTTGAGGATATGGGAGAAAGTTGAGAAAAGTAACTTTCGTGTGCGCATTATAAAAATATTTCTGGCTTCTTATGTGGCCGTACTGCATAAATTATATGGCAACTTTTTCTTATGAACTGCCAAATTGTATGGTAATCTTCCTCTGAATGACTACCTCGATTGGCGGGAAAAAGCCCCTATTTATAGACGGCTCTCCAAGCGGCCTGCACCGTGTGCAAAACTGATTCATCAGAGAGTCGGCCGTCTAAAGGTACTTCATCTTCACTTCTCTCCGAAATTGATGCATGTTACATCATTTCTTTGTTCAAAATGTTCTCCTCGATAATAATAATTTAAAATTATTTTATATTAATTAAAACAATCCCGTGGATCTCACATACAGCTCTGTAAAAATTTTAAATATAACGTTTTCATACGTAGAAGTTTCTTTAATGAATCTATTGTACGATACATGATACTTCAATTTTGGATGCTGAAATATGTAAATTGCCCGTGTTACTCTGTACTGTTGACCTGGTTTGCATAAAATAAAAATAAAAACTCGAACAACCGACAAACAACCAAACTCCCTTTAGAAGTATCGAAATGCTGATGTTTTTGAAATTTAAATTTTTAAATTCGAAATTCATATTTTTTTATTCAAGTTCAAAATTCCTTTGGAGTTTTCTGGGAAGATCTAAACAGAATTGTATAATGTCCATCACTCATAATGTATACAGTTTATGCTAATTTTATTCAATATTTTACCTTTACAACGTTTTATGCTATGAAGAGTATGGATGAAAGGAAAGAGTGAACAATAATATGTTTCGAAATTCTCAGCCTTATTCACTTCTAGTATAACGTTATTGATATTCAAATTAGTGCACAATTTATTTTCCATCTTCCATAATGAATGCTGTAATTTATGAAGTATAAAAGGAAAATCAGATGATTTTCCTTTTATACTTCATAAATTATCTATCTTTTTTGGTTTTTCTGTAGGGAACAGTAGAGTATTATACTCCACACATTATAATAACAACCCCGAATAACTTGTTTTGTATAAGCATCAGGAATCTGGCAACAATTTTAGTACAATTTCAGTACATGTTTGCAATTACAATTGCAAACATGTGCAATTGTAATTACTTCTCTGAATTTTCATATACTGCCAGCATTTTTATTTTTTAATGTTGATGCTTATACATTGTAATTTCTGCTTAACCGAAAAATAAAAAAAGTGTATTTAATAATTGTTATTTTTTCAATATTACTTTATTATAAAAGTACTATTATTAATGAATAAGTAACAAACATCTTTACGTGCTCTGTTTACAAATTTTAAAACTCTATAAATATTCTGGAGTCACAGTCATGCGGAAATGGTGCTACAGTAATTGGCATTACCTGACATTCGTTTATTATGATTTCTATTATACGTAAGCGTGAAAAATTGGTCTCGGGTGCCATGTGCAATGGCTTGTGCTAAAAAGTTTAACTTTAAAGACAATTTTTTTTTTTTTTTGTGAAAGATCTGATCAAATTTTCGGTTAATTTTTCGGTTGTGATAAGCCTTTCAAATTGTTAAAAGATCAGATATTAAGCTATCTAACTCTATCTAAATAAAAATCTGTAATATACTACCTTTTTATATTTAGGAACGAAAGTTTTAAAACTGTGGAGGGGTATGACTACCGAAATGCACTTTCTTGTAAGTAATATCAGTAAATTATAAATTCATTCCTGTTATCTCTAATGTTTTCTGTACGAAAAGTTCGGAGAAAAGCTACACTCTAAGCTTTGAATACAAGAAGCAAGAGTAATAAAAACAGTAAATTTTAAAATATAAAAGTAATTCAAGTTTATATTTGTAATAACATTCTGAAAAAGAAATTACTCGCAGCATAATATGGCAGTGTTTCTTTATGTAGCGAGAAGGTAGCGAAAATGACGTCACGAGCAGCTATCGTCACACGTCGCTGCATTATAGTTTAAAAACACTTTCCTCTCGAGCTAAACATGAATGATATAATTTATCTTTTTATTGCAGTTACAGCTGAAAGTTGAGCTTTCGTTAAAGGACTACAATATTTACATAAAGACATACAAAGATTAAACATTTCTTTCTCCGAAAATGTGAGCAAAGTAAAGACATAGGAGATAGATTATAAAAAAATAATACCCTATGTTTATTTTTCGATCTAATGATTAAGAAAATATAGTATTTTCTTAATCATTAGATGACTATCAAAGTCGTTTTATAAAATTTAATTCTTCTTAATCTTTCCGTAATATTTCTAACAAAACTCATTTGAACTTCTTTATTTTCGCAGCATAATATCGTATTATACGCACAAGCATTCATTCTGCTTTACTTGTGTAGCTTTTATCTTTGATGCAGCCATTCCTCGCAGCAAAGGTTTAGAAACAGTTCGGTACATTATAGCGCTTTATTTAGAAATTCTTTGCTGTGTAGCGATCGAGCAGCGTTGAATAAAGAAGCGCCACTCATTTCAGTTTCTTTTTTCGCTACAACAAAATGGCTGAGTTCACGGTGACGATGAGCGGTGTTAAAGTTTTATATAACAGTAAAGAGTATTCTTATGTAACAATAAAATTCTAAAGTTTTGATCACTAATTAATCGATTTTCTGTTCGTAATATTTTCTTTTAAAATACTCAGTAGTAAAATATACAAGTTTTGTTGAATCTTTTATTATAAACGATTTATTTTCTACTTTTTCATGTTGTAAGAAGACGTTGCACGCATTAAATTTAGATTATTAATTTTGTTGAGAGAAACTTCGGAAATTCCGATCTGCATTTACCGTACATCGTTTCCTGTTCGACAACTGAACTTAGAATGCAACATCCGGTCAGCGACAGGAAACCTAATTCGTCGCCGGACTTTTCTCTTCTTATTTGTATACAAGTATTCAAAGCGTTGAAGTATACAAGGACTTCAACCCGTCATGGTTATAGAACTTTTTCTAAGTTGATTGTCTAAAAACGAGTTGTATTGTTTGTAAACGAGGCATCGATCTCTAACTCAACCGCAACCACGTGTCGTCGATTGTTACCATTCGAAAGTCCAGACGGCAGAGAGAAGTTAATGATGTAACTTATATAATCGTTATTTTCGTTTTGAAATTTCTCTTTCTTTTTCGGTTCCCTCACATGATCTTGAAAGAATAAGATGTAGAGAGGATGAAAGAGAAAAAGACAAATTAGTGAAGGGTGGAATAAGATGGCAAATACTGTATAATGAAAGAAACTGAGGAGGAGGTATGTGGAGAAGAAAGAAAGTAAGGAAGAAAACTGTGGATAAAGACTTGGTGGTGGAATAAATAAAATTGCGATAAAGCAGAATGAAGGAACTTTTAAACTTTGGAGGATATCTGATAGTGAAGCTGATCAAAACAGATGTTTGCTTAATAGATTTACATTTATAAAAACGTTTGATATAAAAGCAATTATATATCATGCTTTAAAACAAAACCACAGCAAAATAATATAATTTTGTTATACCGTTATCATTTATAAGCATTCAGATGCTCTTAGAAAAGGATTACAATAGACAAAACTGCTTCTCGATTTTAAAATTTTTACTTGTATATCAATATTATATCTTTCACTGTAGCAATTGTAACAAACGTATTGCTTTTTAATAGAATTGTAATGGTTAAATTACATTTCTGAAACTATAATTGACACGCATCTATAAATATTTCTGCTATGATAAAGTAATTTTAATTCAGGGTTTAATTTCGCCTATGAGAGTCGACCAGACATCGATGGATCTTCCTCGACGTTTTCTACAAACAAAGTGTAACAACTTTTGTAAATAGCATGGGAAAAACTATAAATAGCGGAAGCATTTGGCTTGTCGAAAAAAAATGTTTAAACGAATACTTACACATCCCTATCAATTGCAAATCACAATATTCGGATGATAGCATTAAACAGAAAATAAAAACTTTTCGTTATCGAACTCAATTTATTACAAACAATTGCAGTATAAATGTATACAGTTTTATTTGTCACACACTGTAAACTTAATCTAACGTTATAAATTAAAATGTTTACATTTCTTGCACGAAAACTCATTAACTCGGCATATCACAAAATTAAACTAAAAAACTCGCAACAAAAATGTTCAGCTCCGAAGAAAGCCATCAAGAAATAATCTACAAGACAGGACAGGTATTTCCTAAAAATTCTTGTCATGTACTTGGGGCATGTAAAAGATAAAATGCATGCTTAAGTTAGAACTAAGTTCGA